TGATTGTTGGGTTTTTTTCTCTGTATCTATGAAGCGCCTTGAGGCGACTTATGTTGTGATTTGGCGCTATATAAATAAAATTGAATTGAATTGAATGATGCTGATTGCTTCAGCCCTGAACCTTCCTTCCTTCAAAACAAGTTGAACTGACTGCAGATCGTTTTCAGTCTCACACTTTTAGACCTTCATGAATGAAGTCTGACCCTAACCCTCCTCCTCCTCACTCTGCTCCATATATGTAATTTCATCTGTAAGCCTCTAATAGCTGTTTATCAGTTAATGGTGGCAGAGACGTTAATGGTTCTGTAATCTTCTGTGCCTTTTTATTTTCATCAGTCTGATGGCGAGCAGAACAAAAGCAGCTCGCTGAGTGGATCATAATCGTCCCGCAGATTTACACACAAATGACATTTAGAGACAATTACGTCAGCGTGAGACAATAATCCAACTAAGTTGTTAAGCGACACAGAAACACGGCGAGGAAGACAAGCTCAGCGAGCATGAACATCCTCAGAGTTCCTCCTCTCTGCGGTCGTGTTCAGCCTCACAGTCCAAACACATCATGATGACGCCTGAAAACGACAGTGAGGCAGACACACACTGCTGGAGGTGAACAGTCACAGAAGAAAACATGGTCACACAGTCACTCATATACAGACGTGCTGCTGAGCTCATGCAGACATCCAGGAGCAACCTGGGGCTCCACCTCCTCACAGCAGCGGTCATATTATGATGACATCACAAAGGTGCAGTTCAGGCTAGCAGACAGCTAGCAGCTACAGCCATCGCCAACACCTGTTAGTCAAAGAGGCCACGCCCATAACCATGCAAACTTTAAACAGGTGAGTTATAAAGTCATCGTCCCCGTACGTTTGCTGTGAAGGGCAACATTATTTCTAGACACCAATCAGTTTGTGTATCAGGCTGTAACATGGGGGTCAATGGGACCGACTCACTGCTGCCCCCGCTGGACGTCAGAGGAAATGCAGCGATCATTTTCTACCCCTGAGGGTTCAAGGTTCAAATCGAAGATTCATCATTATGAAGCATGAATGTGTGAGAAATGTCCAGGAATATCAGAATGTCAGCGTGTGTTCGTGCACACGTCTTATGAACCTGACAACAGAGGGCAATATGACCAAAAATATGTATCACGATATACATTTGAAAATTTGCGATAACGATATAACTGACGATATAATCGACACGAGACAAAATACTTTACAACTCCTCAACTTTATTAGTGCAAAACAAACATCAATGTATTTCCACTGAAACAAGCAGCTGTTTTTTGCATTAAACTTATATAAACATGTAACAGTGCAAATTCCTCGCTGACAGTTTAACCAAAAGGC